TTCTTTCAGTAAAAACGTCTTTTTCGTAAAACGTGCAACTTTCGGAAATGGGAACAAGGTATTATTTGTTACTAATTTCTAAGGAACATTTTAAAATTATTTTCAAGAAGTCCCCTCATGTGCGCTACGAAACTGAAAGATAAACGGCCTCGTCTCGCGGCCTAAAACAATCTGTTTCAGAAACAAACGAGTCGTCGGCGAGGTAACTTGTAGCGTTCTATCTGCACTTCAATTTCTTCTATAAATGATGAACTGCGCGTTTGCCGCCGAACGTCGAACTCGATATGATTACGACAGTCGTTGTAGTGCAATAAACGCATCTCAAAGTATTTGACTGTGACGTAATGATAAACGATTGTATTGTAAAGTGAATTTCGGCATTCATGTATCTCCGAAATAAAAGAAAAGTTCACGAAGAATCATGATAATTATGTTCAATCGAAATATGATGAATCGTAGTTTGAGGTTTTTTTCCTTAATTAAAATAGTCGAGGTAAAAAGAGCCGTATGAAACCGGATCAAGAGCCGCGGGTTGGCCACTTCTGATCTAGTGACTTGCGAGACATTCCAGAAGATGATGATATGGTCATTTTCGAATAATCTAATTTTAATAGCTATACTCAGAAGACACTTTTTTGAATCAGACAGATTTTCAGGTACAATGACGAGTCTGGTGACAAAGAGAATTTGCTCACCTTCGTGGTTTTGCACGCTATTTGTCAGTTTTTAATTGTATTTTTCAAATTTAGGTTTGAATCAAATAACTCAACCGTCATTATGTTTTCTGAAGAGTTTTAGTTTTGTTGCAGTGATCAATAATTAGACCCGAAACTGCGATAGTAGGCTAAATTTTACCATCGTTACGTACTTCTAAATGACGGACGTTTGAAAGTGGTGGTTTGGAACATGAAAATCAGGTTGAAAACGCCAACTCGCGTAAACAGTGTCAAAAAAGGTACCGAAAATTTTGCAAGTAGGCTTTAAAGAAGAATTTTCCTGATGGCATTCATGGCCCCACTCATTTCCACTAACATCGAAAGAATTTTGATGAATGCCAGGTTCACCAGTTGATGGAAGGCATACGTAATTTGTAATTTATCATTGAACAAGACATTTTTCAGTTTGAGTCGGAAAGTTCAAAACCATAACAAAGGTTTAGAATGGCGGTCATGATATAATAAATATGATAATAATAAAAATGTATGTCAAAATTGGTTGTACAAATAGGTTAACATGGGATTGGTAAAGTTTTTGAATGAATATTCAGAAATTCTTCCGATCATACTAAATCGAAGCTACCACACAAAAGATTTTTGCAATTTCAACACTACAGATTGATATGGCCAGGAAGTGACATTGACACGATACTAACAGAATCACTACACGCAGCAACAATTACCCCCTCCGATTCTAGAAGCTAAACACCCTACAGATGGATTTGTATATACATTGTTTCGACTTGACTGAATAGACAAAAAGAACTATTGTCAGATTGTTCAACTGTAGCTGTAATATATATATATATGGAAGAAAATAGCAATTTCAACATTACGCGGCGATGTGAAGAGGACACTTTCATCGTAATTGATCGCTTCTCGCAGCAATATGTCTTGGTGAAATGTATCTTGGCCAGGCACTGAATAATAATAACTCTTTTCTCTTACTGAAGAGAGTAATCAATGGGATTTTCAAGATATTTTATGGTTGCATGAAGAAACATACATTTATTCTTTTGTAAAACAAGTATACTCCTATGATTGGGATCATAATAATCCACGCAAAACCAATTTTCTTTTCTTTGTATACTGCAAAAATAACTTTTTCTTGCCAGCAACGGGTATCAGTTATAGATGTTAATATAACTACAATTGAACAGCATGCTCAGCTTGGGTATAATAAGTAAATTCTTTCATATATACAATACATTAAACGGACCTCCTGAAGTATGCGTACCAAGATGGTGCACAACCTGAAATCAGGTTGTGTACCAGGTTAGGGTTCAGGTTATGCGACATCTTGGTGCGCATACTTCAGGAGCACCCATTAAACAGTTCATAGAAATTACTTATAATCATGTTTGTGTATAATGATTCTTCGTAGAGTACGTCTGCGTGAAGAAGAATGAACTTTTAAAAAAATGAGCTAAATTTTAAAATTATTAATTATTGTAGGCTTGCTTGCAATAGCTGATAAACAATAATTACACATTCTGGTTAGCCCGTATAGAAACTCGACAAGGCGGTATACAAATCTATGTTGTCGATAAGTAATAATTTGCCAAATTCTATCAATCATAATAAAGCTGAAACAAGTGCTATGAACTACGACTTACATCAAGTGTATAATTTAGAAATAGAAGAAGGTTTTGCTTACCAGTTAATACAATCAAACTATTCGTCATTTCAAGGCCATATTTCAACAAATATCAATAAACCATCTACGGAACCACAATGTCAAGTACAAAAGCAACCTTGAGCATCAACGAAACAATTAAAGCACCAAAAATGTAACTTGATCAGAAGGTATTTTTCAAGAAATATAGGTAGGATTGCCCCAACACCCCATTAGTAGACCACCTACTGAGGCAAGAGAAGGAATGACAAATCACACCTCATCACGCAAAAGAAATATATAAACCATTGTTCTATGTAAAAATTATCTACTTTCCGTGTATGGTTGTGTGTTGTATATAAATAAAATCATTTTCGTCTGAGATGTTATGGAAACGTTATACACGCTACATTTAACGACTTTGGAAAATAATTCAAATGTAATAAGGTCTAATTCTACACTCAATTTATAATTCAATTGACTGTAACTGTTTAGTGGACAAGGGTTTGTCGCCTTACACTTGTAATCGTGGGAATATTAAATAATTGGATGACTGTATAAATTATTTCATTGAAGTATTCAATAAACGCTACCTTAAACGGGTTTAACTGAGTCAACGAAGACAGCTAAACAATTATACAAAAACACTTAGTTTACGCGTGATTAAGAAGTTCTAAAATTTACAAAATTCATTTCCCGTAGGATTTCACTCGATAAAGGGAACTTGACGCTACCCAAATAGTATTGAAAAATGATTATCCGCACGTGTGAGGCTTCAATTTATTAATATGAACGCTCGTGCTCTTACTTAAAATTCATATACAGCATATACCACATCAGCAATTGTTTTTCGGAGGTGGGGTTTCACATATTGTATGCAAAAGGTAACTTAAAACAAATATAAAGAACAGAAAGGCTCATCTTGTTTATTATTTCATTTTCTATTTATCACACAAACTGGCTCAGTGCTTTATAAATCCAGCAATAAAGGTGCCAGGTGTTGTAGGTTTCTAATTTGTGTATTCTTGACTCGATAAATTATTTACAAAACAGTGATGACTTGAAGAGAGTTAAGAGCAAAAATATGTCACCATAAAGATTATTGTTTAAAGTAATTCGTTAGAGCATATTTTCTTAAATTTATCCTTAAAATACATCATGAGCAACCGTGAGATTTGTTGCAAGTTCGGTCTATTTGAACCGTGAATAAAGGCAGATTAACGTTGTGTGGTCTACAACCGCGACATGCCACTATAATTTCCCATGATGAGATGTCGTCAGACCAATACATGTGTGGAGTGAATGGGGCATGTATGTGACGCCACGATAGTGGAAGACCAGACTCACTGGCTAGTTGTGGTTGGTCATGTCAGGATGTCTTATTGTTGCTTCGTTCATGGCAAAACAGATGTATAATTGAAATTTATTTTATAGATCAGCTTACTTCACCTCCTATTAAGGGGGATGGATTGCATTTTCAGATGAATGAATTTTCTAAATACGAAAACACTTAAAATATGTTCATACAAAAGAGATAATACCAAAATACTATGAAAAACATATTGCTGACTGTGGATATATGTGCTATTATAAAACTGTTATATAAGTCAATTTCAACAATTATGAATAGTAATAAAAGTTAAAAAAAAGGATGAGTGAATAAATCATATGAAAACCGAAATTACATGTACTTAATGAGCAATATTACTTGTATACAGATATCTAATTTCCCGATTCCGTCATTTTTCCATTCACTTTCTACTGCTTCCAAACGTGTCTTGCAATCATGCGAGTGCATGTCAGAATACACGTCAGAAGATCAAAGATTTTAGGACTACATGGGGTTACTGATTTTCACCGATATTGTAGAGATAATTACATTTTATGAACCCTAAAACTCAATCTACGATCAAATTACCGACCACACGCATTTGCATTGTTTGACATTTTTAGATTTTTCGAGTAATTTCTTGTGCCATGGGTAATAGAATACCATTGGGTCTTAGGAGGTCACCCACCCTCGAGTTAGCGCAACCGCTACAATTTCAGTCGTCATGGACAATTTAATTTCACGAAGATTGACAATTCGTTTCGTATAACACACGTTCCCGTTTCAGTAACAAAACACGGCTTTTGTCACTTTTTTCGATCCAGCGATATTTAGGAAATCAGAATTTTTCATTTATCATTTTGAACAAATTGGAGGATTGTGATAACTTTTCAGAAGCTTAGCGGAAAATAGAAACCGACTACGAAAAATTGCGTGACTGAAGGCCGAAAAAATTGTTCAACCAAAAAGCGTTCATCATAGCGTTCATCATGTTGTTCGAATGTATTTTGCTAGTTTCAATATCAAACCAACTTCCAGTCCAAAAAGTCTGGCCCGTACCCCAATTCAAATTGATGCATAAATGTTGACAATTTTGAATGAAAGCTGTCACAACAGCACCATCAAGTATAAAGTCTTCTGTCTAAGCTTCTCCATTCAATGTATATAACTGCAAGCTTTAGAGCTTGTTTAAAGCTAATAAAACCTTAGTGTGGTCAAAACAAATCATGCTATTTTTTCACATTTTATTATAAATTTTACATGAAAATAATTTGAAATTAAGCAAAATATATCTACTGCATTGTACAAGCTTATTATATATGTAATGGTAAAACTGGAACAAGCACATCGCGGTACAACAAAATATATTCATCATTTAACCACATCAGAAGAGAACTGATCACACACGATTTCCGTCATCCGAGGGATTATATTTACAAGTCAAATTCTTCTTCAGAATGTGTGCCGTATACATAATTTGTTTTATTGCAGTCCTATTCTACAGATAAGCACAAACCTCAATAGAAAACATATACACGGACTTTATTAATATACAGAAGTTCTCCATATAGCTGGGCTTGAGTGTAATTCGTCTCTTCTATAGAAGGTATTTGGTGTAGGTTTTATATTAGTCTTTTGTACATTTTCTTCGTTTTCCGGCCGGATTTTACGTGGTCTTCCTTTGGGCTTAGTCGGAGGCTCTGTACCACCACCTTCCATCACCTGCACAATTAAACATGATATTGGTATTGAAGAGTAAATTGTACGCAAGATGTACGCAACAAAATGTATAAATTGTGGTATAATTTATAAGTCAAGGACATCGCCAATATATGCGTAAGGAATTTCAAAGGAGCCATATATATAATATATTGCAATCCGATATTTGAAATAAAGTTAGGAATAAACATGCGATTAAATTTAATACCCGAAGTATGATACATGGAACGAATTGAAATTGAGCAAAAGTTTTGACGGAGTTCATCCGATCAGTTAAAATGGCCGCCAAAAAATTTCACCAACCTGCTTTTTCCATTTCATGCGCCTATTCTGATACCACGTTTTAACTTGGAGTTGAGTTAGACTCAATGCTTCTGCGAGTTCTACACGATCAGGAGTTGAAAGATATTTTTGTTTGTCGAATCTTTTTTCTAATCCAAGAAGCTGAAACGAAAGCAAAAACGTTAATAAGATGTAATCTGACCAGAGGCTTGAAAAAATCGGTGAATGAACAATTTGATGAAGGAACTGTATAGTTAATCAAATAATAAATCGATGATTTTACTAATTTCGAGTTCCGATTAATTTACTGAAGCTTCTGGTGGCACCCCGTATTGTGGCGAAATAAGATAAGTAAACCTTAAGTCTTCACAGAGGTTTTACAAAAGCGAAATTATACGAACTCATTTAAGATTGGAAGTTTGTAGATTACTATTGTTTGAAAATTTCTACTTAAGTATTTTGGCATTTATGCGGTAAATAAGTAATACTGTATATAAGAAATCAGCATCGAAATTTATGATCAGAGTTGCTAATTCGATAAAAATATTTTGTCCTACTTGGCGAGTAAAATTGCGCCTTCTTGATGTCATTTAACAGAATGGTCACAAAAACTACCTTGATTATTTATATGCAGGAAATAAACTCACTTGAACTTCCGTGAAAACCGTTCTACTCCTACGACAATTTTTAGATTTACTGTTCGTTCGTTTTTCTTCGCCGATTCTTGTTCTTAGGTACGCAGGCAAATGAATGATTGGTCGATCGGTTGGCGGCGGCGGGGTAGTGGAGTGATCTCTTGATTTTCTATTTTCTATTAGGTTTTGAGAGGGAACCAATCTAGTATTGTCGTTAGACGACAACATTTCGGAAGATGAACTTCTGTTGAGATTATGAGATTTAATGTTTTCTGGAACTAACGGGCAATTCATTCGAACACCTTCCTTCTCTTGTTTTGTCAAAATTTGAAATGCTCTTCGGCGAAATGATTCACTATTGACTGGTATTGAATTATCTTTTGTTTCTGATACGGATGGTGATATAGAAAAAGATCTATGCGTTCTTTCCTGGGTGAACCGCTTCTGGCAAAATTCAGCTTCGCGTTGCCGAAGCATGGCATAAATCAGTGCGTTGTCCATTGCGCTGAGAAACCCATAAGGTACAATGGTAGGATTTCTAATGCCTAACAATTCTGTGTTCGATGAGTATGACGCGGATTCTGGATTAACATTGGGGTAAAGAATCATAGGAGATTGATAATAATATTGTCTTCTCCAGTCCTTCGCTTCCTGATTTAAATTGTGCAATTTTTTTGAAGTGGTTTCGGCGTGAAAACTGAGACGATTGTCGTGCGATTGCGGTAGACAAGATAAGTGACGTTTTTCAGGAAATAATTCACCATCTGAATGAGAAAGAATATATTTTATTTGATTGTTTTTAGACTACAAAAAGATACAAAATTTCCAAGCATTATTGAAGCCCAATATACCTGCTTCATTTTCTGGATTATTCCGACTTCTCTTTCTTGGAAAATCTTCTTGAAAATCTTCTCTGTAGTTATTTGATTGAACTTCGCTTCGATTTCGCATTGAGTTAGAAAACGCATTTTTAACATGAGGCAGATCTTCATTAGTGACAGGTTTATTCTGGCATTTATTATGCCTTTTCGGCGACCCTTCGAAAAATCCATCATCTGAGGACGGCGAAGAAGCGTCACAAATTTCTGGATTTCGGTATGCCGGATAACAGTCATTTCTAAGGCGTGTAGCAAGTTCGTTTACTTCTACTACATCCTCTTCAACCCTACGTTGTTCCGGAACATCATTATCAGACGACACTTCACCAATTCCAGGGTCATCTTTCGTCAGTTCCTTCCCTAATATATCGCGTATCAAAAACGAGCTTTTCATTATCCTGTTTACTCGTATATTATAAAGAATGAATTTTCTGAAATTTTAGAAATCAGTAAATACACATTATTCATTAAGCATGGACGATAATCTATAATTTGATCCGATGCATTTTGAAATACACAAAATAATACAATACAGTGCAAGTTACAAAATTCGTTTGTTTCGGCTTCATGTTCATCTATTCTACGAAAAGTCCATGGCTATCTCTGCAAATGCACAGTCCTCGACTACTCGTGATAGATATGTTTTCAAAAGTATATTTACAATTTTGAGTTCATTCAATTCACACCTACAAAATCCCTTTGAACCACATCACATTTGGGTGATTGAATCATTTATAATGCTTTTACGGCGACTTGCATTTCCATAAATACTATAAACTCAAGCGGGCACTTTTTTGCAAATATAGGAGCTCCATTTTCTACTCAAGTTTGTCGTCCGGTTACGCATGTTCAAATATAGTCAGTTGACAACACATCAAAGATAGATCTTAGCAGAGATTCTTGGTCAGACGTGAGCCATGGATAAACTACTTATGGTAAGGCTTCTCAAATGTCAACCTCTCTCCAACACTTCCTCCATTTTATTTTTACGCTAAATTAAACAAACACAATATCACTCCGGAAAAATAATAAATCGACTTCAAAATCTCGCCAATTATCGTTAGATGTAGATATACTTAGTTAAAGCGTCTATACGCCAGGTGTTAGTCGTCTACTATTGCAGTAAGAACCCGTAAGAGTCCCGTTGTCACCTGAACGAAGGTTATCGATGGATGGCATTAGTATGATAATGAACCGTCGATATTCATAATTACTGAATGGCCTGGACCGGAAAGTAACTAACGCCCAGACGGTTAAAATCGAATTAAACCAGGATTGCTCACTCACTGCCTACCCATCTCAAAACATATTAAAATAACTAAAATTTCGAGGTAATTGTCATTGAAATTGGACCGACAATGTATACCTTTCGTGCAAATTAATCGTTTTGGAGAAACACATCCATATATTTTCTCAACTATTCGTGCTATTAAAATGCCATTAAAATTACGACTCTTTCTGAGGTACACGCTAACATCGTATAACTCTATTAAATTGCTCCTCTTAGCAGCGTACGACAAGATTAACCTGTCGAATAACAGGTTCCCTGAGCGTCACACGTATTTAACCACAAAAGATACAACAATACGAGAGAAAATTTGGGCAGTACCATGAGACGTTTAGAATTGTGAATCTCAAATACTTCCCATCTGGCCCTGTTCAGTCGGGCATAATTGCTACACAACTCGACAAAAATAAATTACCGAGTGACAAAACAAAGTTCTTTTCAGAAGGAAGAGTCTCTTGTCATCATAATTGAAGTCTTTTTATGAAAAATAAAATGATTCAAAAAATCAAAACAGGTGCGGGTATGGTTTGTTATTTTTTTATTGTTCAACTAGATAACGAGAATGTGGCTACTTCCGAGCCAAATCGACACTTGATGATTTATTTTGTCACACCTCTTGGTGTATAATAATAACTCACACGTTGTGTTCTTAGCATCATCAGATCAAACGTGAGTTCCATATAAATTGCTTCAGTAAAATACCACTAACATCTATAACAAGTACGATCGGATGTGAGATTGTGAAAATCTACGGGAGTTTTGTAATCACGATTTTCATTTTTTAAATCATTCTTAAAAAAATTAATTCTTGAACTGTTGAAATGATTTTGGCTAATAATAATAAAAGTATTTTTTAAAGTATTTAACAAATACTATTGTCGACCTCGACACGTTTCGGAAGACACCTTTCATTATTGAGTCGAACCACAATTTCAATGTAAATAAAATTAAATTTGTTATAAAAATAAAATATGTAATTTTGTAAGTCGTGTATAGTCAAACTGAAATCGTGATGTATTAGACAGAAGTATAAAATAGGAAAATACAATACAATAGAAATAGATACAATAAAAGAAAAAACAATGTTGGCATGTTATTATTTTCACCAATTTCCATTTTTCCCGTGAAATTCTTCTTGGAAAATAAAAATCAACATTTCTAACAATTCTCACAGTTTTATCAATAACAATATATCTATCTCCCCATTGCGATATTATTTATTGTATCGCCAAAACCAAAAAACGCTGGGAAAATATATTTAAATATCTACCAAATATTATGCAACACATATCAATAAAAATACACGATGAAAAGTGAATGAAGCTCATAACGAATGCAGCCAAGTGTCAACGAAAATTCGAATATAATTTGTTTAATTTCGAATCTTAGTTTATACATTCGTTCTGTTTCGACGATACCGCGCAAAATAAATTTTCACTCAAAATGAATTGTTTGTTTCGGGTTTATGGCAATTTTCGAAGAACTTGTTTATAATCTTTGTGAAATATAAATGACAATTTCACGTGTTTTGTTTCTACTGCAACGACTTGTTATTTTTGATTTGTATGCATTGAAACCAGTTGATGCGAATACGCGTATACGTTACACAATTGACACTCAATAAAAATCACAAATAAATTTTCGCTATCATACTTCTGCGAGAATCGTATTCACCATCATAAGTTATTTATAGTATTTTTACATTATACTAGCGTTATATGATTTTTGGAAAACATTTATGAGAAAGCCATGCTCAGTTATATATATATATTGTATAATTATATTTTCAAATTCAAAAAGCTGTCTTCGGTCGTAATTCAACCCATAAATTCCCATTTTCCGATCTGCTATGATTCGCTCCTTTCCCGTCAAAGGCGATTAGTATATTTGTAGATAAACAGCGGTTATGGTCATTAACATTCTTCACCTCGAGTAGGGATCGAGTCCTATCTATTGAACAGGTGGGCTTTTCGTTATGTTTTCACAACATTTGTCAGTGGGCACGTCCTAATTATTCAAGCGTATATTCATGTGGAATACTATGAAGGAGTGTTATGTTAGGAAAAAAACTTATTATAATTATCCATACATAATAAAAATATGTCAAATGTTCTTCGATTTATATTGAAAGAGACAAGGTTATAAACAAGATTTTCAAGAGTTTGGCGTAGCAAACTGAATTTATTACGTACGCTATGGGTACAATGGTTAGGGTTTTAAGTTTTAACTAAAGTTCTGGAACGTGCAATGCCAAAATATTCCGGCCCAATCAAATATCTCATGTACAGCCGGACATGAAACAAGATTTCACAACAAAAGTTATGAGCATTAAAATTTTGTTGAGAACAAAACGAATTTCGATTACCTAAATTATGAAATACAAATATTTAGTTAGTGTAAACTAATTTTTTTGTTAGGATATTTCTTCCAGCATACGATTTTGCACAAAATTTAAGAGTAAGTGATCAAAACTGAGTTAAGTGAAATTATTATATATTTTTTTGCTCTGACGTATACGAATTTTTATACAAAATCATTTTGTTGCTTGAAATGAAAATTCAACAGCAGGTATTTGTCAATTCAAAACATTGCTGGGTTTATAGTAAGTACTTAATATACCTGGCTATAGTTTTCAGGGAACTATATACTCAACAAACCAAAAATTAGTTTTTTGACTCACACGTCAGAGTTAGTTCATTACTTATATTCAATGACTTATCTTTATTTGGTTCTGGGTGGATTCAGATGATTTGCAAGTAGTTACGTTAATTGTTTACTTTTATGAACGATTGCCAATGTTTATTTTTGATATGGATCATATGCTTTGATAAAATACATAAACTTTACTAGCTTTTTACGACGATGTCAGTTAGTGTGTAAGATTTGAGTTGGCAACATATCAGTATTTTACTGAATATTCACTCTAAAAGACTTACCAACATATACTCATCTTGTCTAGATATATATCACCAGTTCCAGGAATCAATTGTCGACTTGATACTGATTTTGCCAACTTTTTTATGTTGATAAAATGCCAAGGAACTTTGCTTGTATTAGCAACAGTGATTTTGAGGGAAGTGAATGAAATATTATTCCGGTAAAAACTTCCCAAAAACAAACAGATGTCATAAAAATAAGCCATTGTTTGAATTTTTGTGCAAATGTTTTTCGCTCGATCAAGTGCGACTAAAATATTGATCTAGCTTTCCACAACTGATCTAAACGGTAAATAAATATGATATTTATGCTCCGGCTTCTCTCAATAAAATTATTATTATGAGTTATGACATACTTAACGAGGAATGAAATTTTCATCGGCAAAAACGTTGGGGAAGTCCATTATCGTGTCTCACAGTTTGTTATTTCCAAATAGTCATTTCTCTAAACTCCCCTTTCAATTTTATTGCTTTCGAGTTTGCACCTTCTTTCATCTACCACATATATCTTTATTACATCACACTCACCATTTAAATGTCTTTTTGCTTTTTTTCGTCGAGAAATGAAGTACTTCAGTAACGTAGCATATTACAGAGTGTCGGAGGATTTTCGGTTGTGCACTATCGTTAACTTTAATAAAAATGGTTATTAATTGTGATTATTTGGCAAAGCAGAATAATGAAAACGTCTGGTGCAATAACAAATTTGACTTTCTGTTCCCCTCTTAGGTTATGATATTTCTACCACTGCTGAAAGACGAAATATTCAAATTTTATATGTCATCAGCATTCACTACTTCACCTGATGTATATACAATACGTATAAAGTGTGTTTAAGATAGGAAAGCCTCATAAAAACACGACGTCTGTTTTTGTGTTTACGCTCATTAAAGTGAAAATCCTGATGTCCATTTTGGGCGGCGACGGCGTGTAGAATTATAGTCTGATTAACCCATATACATGAAATTCAAATCATGTTAAAAAAAGGGGAAAGGCGAAGTACCTTATTTTGAATTATCATCGAAAATGTATATCGAGTACTGAAACAGAATATTGCAACCACAATCATGCAATATCAGCATGTTTGCTTCATCTATTTACTTATGAATATATTTCCACAACTATTAAATTTCCAAATTGCATAAAATTGTGAAAACCTTGTGAAATTTGAACGATATATATGTGGTTATACCTGCACAGTAATTAACTTCGAGTTCTATTCAATTAAGATGACTAGAAATTTACTCAAAATGTCGATTTTCAATTTGTGGTCGAAACATGATCGCCAATGTTTTTAGGAGTGTTCGCATGGCATGTGTGGGGTGCACTTGGACCCCCAACACGCAGTGTAACATTATACAACATTAGCAGGCACAATACGACACCCCTTGTTTACACAAGAACTAGTAGCTTCCTGCAATTAGGGGTTGACGTATCGCGTGTCCCTTCAGTTACATAGATAGCGCGTGGCCATGGTCATCCGAGCCATTATGATGCCAAAGTTGCACTTCATTCGAGATAAATTCTATACTTTTCGGATTGATAAATGGTTCAATCAATTTCCCAATCACCTAATTGCTTTTGGCAGTTAATTAATTTAACAAATTTCACGCAGATGTTTAAGTGGTCATAGATAACTTGATATGCTCATATTGCATTTTTGTCAAAATCCGTCAAAGTGCTAAAAGCAAAAATGTCACATTTTATTTCAATTGTAAAAGCCCAAAAATATTTTTAAAATTGGGGTCTTCGGAAAATTATTATAAATTGATCGGTCAGATAAACGTATTTCGAATTAAGTTCAAGCAACCATTTAATGTTAATACCTTATGTAATCCATAAAATCTCAAACATTCGCATTTGTCTGCCATAAGCTGCTGTATTGCACTGCTAATATTCAATTTATATTATATTTATGTAAATATACTGTTTTAGTGTAATATTTTCTACGTGTTTTCGTATTTGAGGAATAGAAAAGACACATCAAGCCTGCGAATTTTCTTGGAATCTAGAAAAGACCAGGCCTCATTTAAATTAGTATTTTATTTTTTTACATTTAAGTTTACTTTGTATAGAGTATAGACAGTCACTGCCAGACGAGCAGAAAATTTAGTTTTTTATTCACTAAGATTGATGAGTCAAGAAAATGTTAGATATTACTCGCAAACCCGAATCCATGCAATTTGAAAGTAAACGATTCCAGCATTGAATCGTATGTAACAGCAGACAAAAAATGTTAGTAATACCAAGTCAAAGTTTCAACAGCAAAATATTTATCAGCGGCTAACCTTTTTCGTCGCCGTTAACGCTTTCAACTCCTATCCTTTTTTCCCACCTTTGTCAAAACGCCATACCAATAAATCGGTGGAACCGATATTTATTATAAATGAATAAAATTCAATCGCCGTGAAGTTTCCACGCAGCGCTTAAAATTGTGTTGCACTGTATATATTGATTGTTTCCTTGGACACCAAGTGGGCAGTTTTGCGCATTGCTGTTATTGTTCATGGGTCTTCCTACTACATCGTGTTTGAGAGGACATTATTCATTATCCAAGACGCTCAACCTATTTTTCGCCTTGTGGAGTAGAAGTTCAAAAAATAATTTACCAAACAGTCGTTCCTTGTTCATTTGCCGGTCATTATTTTTTATTTTACTTCCCTATCAGAGCATGACAAGATTTCTCGCAGGATATTGCTTATTGATTAATGGACCTACAAATGCACGATCGATTATTATCCACATTCTAAACTTGTTTATGAAGCGAATATATTTCTACAATTTCCCTAATGTGAATTGCATTTTTGTATTCATTGTTAAAAATTGAAAATTAAATTCTGGTGACAGCATTAATGAGTACAATTGAATGTGCATTTTCGATGTGCAATTTGTACTCTAAGCCTTGAATTGGGCGAGTGACATCCTGATACATTCCCATGGTATTTTAACGTGCGTGTAAACAATAGCAGTTAAAAACCCAAATATGACAGTCGCAAGGCAGTCTGCAACACATCACGTACTGCACATAATCCAATACGCGAGATCGATAGCAACGGAAATCAATATAGTGAAGTATGGAATTCACATCTGCACGATTCCGATAAAATTAATGCTGACAATATTTCAACACCCAAATCTCTTTAGGTAAAAGTCCTATGCCAGAAGTTCCCAATTTTTTCAGTTCCACGTAACCTTTTATGGGCTCCTTTAACAAGTTAATATTGTCATGTACAAGTGAGTTTTCTCTTTTCCTCCATACCGCTTTGAATATGGGTGATAAAATATGCGGTTATAAACTCGTAGCATGGATGAGATACTAAAGCGAAAAACACTGTTAAACGATCCAGTGAACAAATGATGACTTACATTTTTGAAGGGAATAGAACCATTCTTACACAACATGCAACATCCTGTGTTGCCCTAGGCCTGTTGATTGGTCGCCTTCTGTGAACAGCACCCAGATTAGTAGTTTCATCTAGTTTTGTTTTCATATTATGTATGGAAAGCTCATGGACACCCAAAAGTCTCTGTGGGCCACCAGGGGTCCAGGAGCGGCTTGGGGAAAACTACCTTAGGCCAAACATCATCTTTAAATCCGTTTCACAAACCCTAGAAATAATTGTTCTCCCGAGAAACGTTTATTTCAGGATAATTTGACAATTCACAACAATATAAATATTGCACAGATTACACTTTTTTCAAAACACATTATCCCAAATTAGCAGGTTTTTACAATAGCCTGACAATAGATATATATTTTGAAAGTTATTATAGGGGTTATTGCTGAAACCAAGTATATAGACATCTCAAAGTAGTGCATAACCCCAAGTGTTCGACTAAAATGTCAAACAGTCATTCCATTGAGAATGACTAAGTAATCCTTATGAAACAGGGTGACAGCGACATAATTTGGATGATGATAAAATAAGAACTTCTCAGGAATTAACAAAACAACAAAAGAAAAACCCACGACCTCTTCTACAGTACACAATAAACTGAATCTATAACAAATATTGATAAAGATAAATAGGGAGAAAACAACAAAAATATAGCGTTTGTGGATAACATCAATACATAAGGATTGTCCCATATACCGTACACGTTCAACATATTAAATTTGAATTTAGGAGCCATATTTCCAAGACCATCTACAATTTTGTCCCTAGAGTTCCAAGCACCTTAGAAACAATACAACAACACTTAATGGAATCTAGCTCATTCCAATGACGTTTTCTAACGCAATCACGACATAATAATAAAAATCTCTGTGCAGAATCGAAGATTTGTTTGATAGTAAAATGACATTCCCAAAATTTTTGTCACAATTCTTATGACAAATCATATACCAAAATTGTGAACAGTGTGCATGTTCTCCGTTCTATATTTGCATATAATATTTTATATATATATTTATGTCCCCAAACTTTTGAAGATTTCCAAGCATAGTCACATGTATCATTCATTCAGTTCCATACAGTCAATAAAACTCCTTTATTTAGTTAGTTTCGTGTTGATCATGAGTGTGAATTGGAAGACCTTTTCCCCTTGGATCATCAAATCTGTCCATGGTTGTTATAGCAGTCATGGCAGCCATTCCAAAAGCAAAAATGAGAGCTAAAAGTATTGAAATTAAAGTTCCCATCCAAATAGGTCCTGTGAGAAATCCAGAACAATCAAGTGCACGCGAGAAACTCTCGTTTCTAATCTCAAAAGGCTGCAACTAAGAAAGGGAAAATAGACAAGTTATAAGCAGTAATAAAAAGTTATTTGATTGGCACACGTCCAAAGAACCAACAGTACAGCTAAAATGGCCAGAGAAATCACATGAAAAATTTTTTTTTCCCATGTTCAAAAATAAAAACCCACACATTCTTCGTTTCAGATATCATGGATACAATTGCCTACAATAGTGGTAAATCATTAAGTAATCTATTGTAGTAACAGTAATGAATTTTGAAGAGTATGGTTTCCCCTACAATTTAGACCGAATGAAGTGTTTTTTTCGCCATATTTCCTGTACAATGCCTGCAAATTTTAAACTTACAAGCTCTAACAAACTCACATGAGCGTACCGGTAATTTGACTAGAGAGCATAGTGCAAATCCGATATTCATTACTCGAGCAGCACACAGAGAAAATAAAATAGTTATCAAACTATTGTCATCTTACCTGCAGGAATTGAAATTTTATCTGTTGAGAAATAGTTTTATCCTGAACAACTTGTTTCCATGTCATTGCTTCTGGTGCTTCACAGACCCATGACCAATTAGCTGGAGCTGCATATGAATATTTGTCACTGATTCTCAAAGCATAAGTAGCTTCTGTATCATTCAAATTATGGGTAATGGTTGCAGATGTGATATTCCACCAAGTGTCAAGGGAAACTGGATACTTGCGACTCTCAAAAGCAAGTCTGTTAACAGAATAAACAGATAAAATATAAAATCATCCATCATTTTGTGTTCACGCTATAGTTCGCTTCAAAGGCAGTTGTTCCCTATTTTTAGAACAAACCAGACATTCATTGAATCCAGGGTATCTCACTGTTCATCAAAGCCAAATGAGCCTGAAGTTACATATTCACTGATGTACCTTGATCAGTATGTCATATGTATGTGTCCAACACATTTGGTAATTACATGAGGCAAGTGTTGCAAAACTGACCAAATGGCACCCAGTGTTTTCAAAAACATAGCAGGCCACTAGATATCAATACTTGAGACTCCGAGCCTATTTATTAAGCGCTGTGAATAATAATAATTTAAAAACCTGTCTCAATATTGAATAAAATAAAAGTAATTTGGTAAAGCTAAAATTGTTGCCGATGCTACCCAAGCCATGTAATGTCAAATAAACTTTTATTTCTCCTTTTTTTCTATAGAATCTGAACCCAAAACCTGAATAACATACCAATCAAGTTTTAAGGAAAATGATTATCCTTTTATTGTAATATGTTGTCTGTGGATAAATAAGAAAGAATCTTGCATTATCATGCATTAATTACAATTACATCTAGTATATATCATTTGCAAAATTTGAATACCATCGATCTCACCTCAAAACCATGCTTAGAGATCCGCTCCCTGTCGCATTAACAGCTGTATATTTGATCTCCACCCTGAATTGAAAAAGAAAATAATACTAAATTAAACAATTTACTAATTTTAGGAGTGAAAATTTTAGTATCAAATATTCAACAGCAAATAAAAAGCTGTAATAAAAGACTAGCTGATAAATGAAACAAAAACTTTAGGAAGGAATAGGTCAATAAAAATAAGGAAATATATCAGTTTTGACAGCCAAAAAATTTACAGTCAAAAAGACTTCACATTTCGATGTCGCTAAGAAATACTGTGAACTTTCAAATATATAACAAGTACGACCATGTCAAAAAACTCACTCAGCCGTGCCATTAGAACAACTGGTTGAAGTCATTACTGGTTCAGTGAGATTCCATACTTGTTCCTTGTATTGTAAAGTAACATTGTTATATGCAATATAGACACAATCCCCTTGAAGAACCGTGGTTTTATTGGTGCCGACAGATGTATCCTCAACTGCGAGTAGCTGTCTTCCAACATGATATTCATCTACACCCCTTTTATGTCTCTGCATTAGTAAACAAAAAATTAATGATTTGTTTCTCAATGGGTCTTATTAGGGTCGAACTGAGGCAGCTCTTCCATATCATCAATTGGACACTAAAAAAAGCACAATTGCTGACTCTACATCAAAGAGTAAACTGCCCTCATAGTTTTCCATTATAATAAAGATTTGTGATACTTTCAATCTATTGACTTGATCGTCTCTCAAAAACATACATTTATTATCAGAGCTAAAACAAATGTAAAAGCTTCTCTTTTCAAGATATATTCCCAAACAATTAGGTAAAAACCAAGTAACCAAGATACCCAAGATATGCATCTACAATATGGTTAATCGAAAAATAGAATGGAAATATGGAATTATATTCAACTTTCACATAACATAACTTGAAATTGATGAACTAGAAATATATAGGATTTGGGACTGCTTGATAACTAACAAAGTATAAATTAAAACAATGAATACATGCCTGTGGTGCAGATCTGGCAGTCAAAACTGCAATGTATTCCAATGTACTTGGAATTTGGTTAATTTCGCTCTGAATCTTTTCATCTGCAAGCATTATTGAATGAAATATTAATTTCGTATCACTGTTAGAAAAATGTGTGTATCATATACACAAAATTAGAAATCAGTAACTTCATATTATTTAATATTTTTTTATAACATTTTAAAATTGGAATTGTTAAATTGTATTTGTTCAATATTGCTTGCTTTCCCTATTCATCACTAAAACAGATGGATGAAAATTGACACAAACTATTTGTTCGAAATTGCGTATACCGTAGTTATTGCTCCATACTTATTTTTATGTTTTCAAATATTCTCCATATACATCGAGAGCTTGAGTTGAAACCATTTAAATCAAACACACCCTATTTTAAAATGGTACTATATCATTGGTACTATTACCACTTAGTTATCTGCTAATTAGAAAGTGTAATGTAGACATACCTAAAGTAGTAATGGTATTTCTTGTATCCACTATATTATCATGGTTGATCGTTGGTAATTCCACAATTGATATTTTTGCATCCTTGAAAGATTTCTTTAGAGTTGCCGTAATGAAATTTTCAATAGATGTAGGCTGAACTGCTGGCATAACAACAGATTTACCAGAGGTTAGAGCATTCTGTCAAAAAAATGAAGTATTAATAGGAAAAATATTAAAGGTAATCTATATTGGAAATCACCATTGTTATTTATTGATTCCTTGTTTTTGCCTTCTCAATAAAGCTAGCTACTCAGAAAATTCATAAGCTTCTGGGAAACAGAAATATTTTTTCAGCCGCCTATCGTAATAACAGAGAATACAAAACTTGCCTTTGAGGAATTCCTTTTAGAACAAATTTTTAGATATTAATAATTATCAATCCAATATTGTCTTTTTTGTTTAGGTCATGATCATGATAATCCTATCTAAATATTAATAATATGGTTCATTAGTCCTGATCAAATCAGTTAATTAAGAAATATTAATATTATGTTTGTACAATATAAATACTAATTATATAATATAAAAACTAATTAAAAAAATCCCAAACATATAAAATCATTTCAATTTTAAATTGAGAAATTTCGTTTCGTTCCAACAAAACATTATATATAGTACCGGTATAGGGTACAAAGTTATCAAAATATTGTTCTTAAAACAGTTTCAACCAGTAGGAACTTCATCCCTCAAAAAATTCAGCATGATATTAAATTTCTTTACCTGTAAGTTATAAAATGCTTTCTTGTCTTTTCCATCTTGTGTCAGTGGGAAGTCAGATTCGTCCAACTGCAGAAAAAAGAATCATTATTGTAATTGACACAAGAAACAGTGATAATTTAACTATTCATATATGCTATACTAAAAATAGAGTACTTGATAGCGATCGGATACCGTCAAATTATCGCGGTATCCCATCGGGTATTACTAGCGGGTTGTCAAATTTAACGAAGATTAACCTGATCTACCAAATGTTCTAACAATAAATGGCAGGACAATAAGTCAATGACCAACCATTGAAGGTATTTATAACAAAATAATTTAATGAGCGCATATTTGTTCGTCTCTAATTTAGGGAACCTCTGAAATATAATGACTACAATTGAATTTTAGCTAGAGTTGTTTTAAATATTAGGAGTTCATATAATTTTGAAGATATTAAAAATCTAATCAATACGGTTAGCTATGGAATGATTGTCCTGGAAAAACCTACCGTAGGTCTTTGAAAAACATTTTTCTAACAAATGGCAATGCAATCTTTCAATACAATACTGAATATAATTATTATTAAATAAATTAATGGGAAAATTATAAACCTCTTCTGTAATGAAAATTTTGATTTCTTGAGGATTTTTATTTTGCAAACATTTGAAGAAATTACTCTCAGAAAATTTTAAAATATATTCAGATGGAAACACTTGAACATCCTGCTGACAATCTTCATTTCTGTGAAAATGATAAAAGAAGAAATTATATGAAATCCTAAAGAAATTCTTTCTAAGATGTCTCTTCAATTTCCTATTAGGAATAAAAGGACAGATAATTAGGCCAAGGCCCCAGATCGCCAGAACATTTCTTACATCATTGACTAAGTTGAAGGGTTAAGATCGAATCAATAACTGAAAGATAAACACAGATAGCCTAAACACAGATAACTAGCACTATACTTATGTGAAGAAGACTATGAAAAATTACTAAAACATATTACTACTGTACTAGGACCTGAAGGCATTAAAACCAATATACAGATATATATATATATATATATATAGTCTATATCAAGAATAGATTTATAAAATTGTATAAAAGTAGCTATTACCAAATCTTACCTGATATTTGTCCAAAGCAAAAAAGGAACATAGTCAGAAGCGAAAGACTGTCCAAATATGAATGCAAGAAAGACAACAAAATTAGTAACCTTCATCTTGCAGTTGTGACACTGCACTTCATCAACAAAAGCTTTTTCAATTTTCACTAACCACTGGTATTCTATTACTGTAGTAAGAGAGATACCTGTAGTTTTTCATTCAACAAACCAAAAAAATTAATTTCCAGATTTATGCATACCGGTACATATAAATACAGAAATATAATAAATAACAAATGCTCTGGGTACCGGTATTTGACACGGTACAGGTAGGCTTAACATCAAATCGCCAAATTCAATAAAATACAGAAGTCAAGAAATGGGAAAAGACTTGCAGACTGTACTACGGTATGCCTGTACCGGAACCTACGGTACCGGTACCGGGCTTTAGTCCACAGCAGTACCGGTACGGTAATCAATCAATTTTAATACTTTTAGTACCGGTACTTCTAATTAGACGTGATATCATTAAGGTTGAGTGAGCATGCACTTAATCAAATATACCGGCAACAAAGAGAAAACATGAATTACCGTACCGGTCTAGCCCGCTAAACTATATGTGATAACGATTCACTTGCAGGGTGTAAGTTCATCGACGGATCGATTGGTGAAGGTACAATAATTGCAAATGAGCCACGGAGCAGAAAAGCGAAATCTTAAATAAACTAGTTGCCAGATATACTGATGAAAATCCATAGTTGATTCCAGGTATAGAAATTAGAGATTGTCATATAGATTGATACAGACCAACTAATTACGTGGCTGATTACCACGACATAAATAAATAGCCTTTAAAATAAAACACAAACGCCATACGTATCAGTACAATTATTTATGAACTGAATAGATCTAGCAAAAAAGCTTTTGTGACAACAAACCTGGCAACAATATATTATCTCAGGTCATGAGACCCGATGAGACCAAGCTGCCGGCACATGACAACAGCTGGCAAAAAAAGAGAGAGAGATTTGTTATTTTGTCAACCAAAAATGCAGTCATCAATACAGTAAAAAATAATATAATAATATAATATCAATAAAATTGTTTTTGTATGAACAGCAGGGAGCGATACGACCATGCGGTCATCGAGGTCAACTCCCACCCATTTCGTTTGTATGAATAAGATTCAAATTTTAGGATGACTTAATGAACAAGTTGGACCGTAAATATATACTACGTTAAACCAGTAATATATTTACAAACTTTAGGAACAAACAATAATATAAATGTAAACAGATTATATCCAATATTGAATTGGGACTCAAAATAATCACGATATAACCTGAACGGGTAGGAATAATATGGTAAAAAAGGATGTCAACATGGGATATAGTTGAAAACTTGGTTGCACTAATTTAAACTATAATAAATAATTGTACACTTTAGGACATAACGATCGTTCCAATATTATGTTGTTGGACACGTCAGTGTACATAACGATCGTTTCAATATTATGTTGTTGTTTTTGTTAGTATTCTTCTCTTTCGTCATGATGAAATCGCTTTTCATTCGAATACTGGACCAATTGCTTTGGTTTTTCATTGGTTAAAGATTGATTTTTTTGCCAGAAGGCTATCACTTTTTCCTTTTTCAAAAATTTCTGTGGACTTCAAGAGATTCGTTTTTTATGTGTCAGAATAAAAAATAGCGACACCTTGTGACGTGTTCATATATTTGAGCACAGCTCTCTTGTTGGACACTTTGGTGGACATAACAATCGTTTCAATATTATGTTGTTGTTATTATTCTTATTTTTCTTTGTCACCATCATTATTATAAAATCGCTTTTTTTCTCGAATACTGGACCGATTGCTTCTAAATTTTCAGTGGTTAAAGTTTGATTTTTTTCCAGAAAGCTATTACTTTTATTTATTCCTAAATTTCCTATAAATCCTATGAGATCTGATACTTCATTCAAAATTTTGCTATTCTAAAATTTACTCATGTGAACACTGTTTTGAAACTTATTTCAAGCGGTTGCGTAATCGAGCCTGCAGGTACGGCACTCAGTTACTGTACCACAGTGAAATTGACTTATTTCTTTCGCAATCTTACTATGGCAGTAATGTCAAATGTAGGGTTTCTAGCAAATCTAGCCTACCGTATATGTTAATTTTGATAACAGCAAATTGAATTGAGTTTTTATATGTCAGAGAAGAACCGTTCCACGATCGAATAGCAGGTCTACAGTACAGCAACAGGTACTGGTAAGGTACCGTATGGAACCTCTGTGAATTACGCTCTCATCTTTTCGTTACAGTCCTGATGTAAACAACATAAATTTTGTAGCCTATCTTTTTTTTTATTTGATAAGAGGAATTGAATTGAGTACTTATATGACAAGAAAAACCGTTCCGGGACCGAATATCAAGTAGGCCATATTGGTAAGTTACCGTACCGCATATGATTATCGGGGAATCGATATTTTCTTCTTATTTTGCCTGGTACCGTAATGAAGAAGTGACTCGGATCACTTGGTATTTCAATTCACGTTGAAATTGGATGGAAAAGAATAAATCATTACCACAGGACATGGAAAAGCTATGACAGTCCCTGTACCGTTATTTGTACCCAAGTACTAGTAAGTCAGTTACCATAGTCATGTAGCTGTTTCACTGTTCAGATTCGTGCAGGATACCGCACCGAAGGCGTCGGGAACCCTATGGTTTACGGTGGAGTGATGATAATATATTTCGTTTTATTCTAAGTGTTCATATATTTGAGCATAGCTCTCTTGTTGGTATTGTTATTCTTCGTCACCATCATTATAAAATCGCTTTGCTCTTCGAATACTGGACCAATTGCTTTGAAATTTTCGACAGGGCTCCGCAACTACGGGGTCGCGACCCATAATTGGGTCGCGAAGCCCTCCGCTCTGAGTCGCAAAACAATTTAAATTTGCCATAAATATGAGCATCGCGTCAGTGTAGCGTATTTATGTATAACAAATTTATAAATCTCTGATTACAATTATGGATGTTTTCCCGAGTATACACTTTCTTATTTACTGCCGTAACATTGGCCAATCAGCATAAGTGCAAAATTTGACGTAACAATAAACGTTTCAGAAGTGCTCAGATACTTTTGCCATTCAGACAGTCTTTCGTGGTTGTGAATATCACCTCGTTTTTGCGGACTATTTGTTAGTTTTTAGTGGTGTTTAGGTATCGTAAATATAAGTCTTAATCAAATAACTAAATAATCATTTTGCTTTGTCTGAGTTTTATTTTAAATGCAGTAATCAAAAATTAATCTAGAAATAGCTGTGATAAACTAAGCCAAACTTCTCTACGGCACATGAAAGGTTGTTGAATGTATTGAATTAAATTAATAGTTTGAAACATCTAAACCGGTTTATAGGCGCCAACTCGCAAAACCATTTTTGAAATAAGTATCAATAATTTTGCAATGGTAGAGTATAAAGCGGAAGAATTTTGCTGAGATCGAAAGTCTACTACGTGGACAATTGTTCTGTTTGGTAGCAATGCGAGGTATCAGTATCAGTAGTTTATTTTTACACATGCCGAAAATACACATTATACGAATAGGATTAAGTAAAAAAAGAAAAAAATGCATTTTAGTGTGAAGGAAGACGCGATAAACCAGTAATGGTTATCGAGCAGCGTCACCTACAAGGAAGTCTAACATCAAATTTTATAAAGGAATAAAAAGACGAACATTAAATACTAAGAGAATACGGAAATAGAATATATTCAGGCGACCCGAATATCCGAGTCTCGTTCATAACGAAGGAAGCAAGCGACTCCAGTCACAACAGGCGGGGTAACCATGTCAACCGCGTTTTATTAGATATCAGAGTGATAAACCATAGCATTATGAGGTAACTATGGATGAACGGGCTAAGAAACCTCGCTTGTCAGCTGCAGTAAGGGCCATTGTTTTGGGGGTAGTACCTCATTCGGAAGACATTAATAACAAACAATATTATTGGAATCAGGTTCCGAAAGGGGTTTTTAAATCTATACGGTACGGTCCAGCAGTAGCCCTGTGGAATTGGTGGATAAAGACAGATAATGAGATTTGTCCATTCTAAATTAAATAGTTAGGGTGCTGTTACATTTGTTATTGTAAGGCATTTTTGATTAAATGTAAAATGGATTCGAAAATAGAAGAATGGATATGTTTTCTGAGCTGAACGATTTTCTCGAAGAAAACGAGTTTAGTCAAAACATTGTGAAATAGTCTATAATCAGTCATCTTCATGATTTTTCGCAGTGGTTTAATAAGCATTTTCCCGAAACCACAACACCACAGCAACACGACTGGATATTACCACCTTTCATAGTATCAAATCAATGACATTAAACAACTATAGCCATTATATAACTAGTCTGGAAGCTCTCGCTTTTTTGCATGACACCGAGTTGTTGACAGCGACATCTGGTGTTGGTGTGGGTTTTACACCCCTGTCGTCTGCTGGACAGCCGAATCAGGCAGTTTGATACAGGTAATGTGTGATTGTTTTCAGGCCATGTTTACACATTTCAAGTTGCGCGAAGTTGGCAAGATATAGAAAACTAAAATAAAAAGACAACCTATTATTATTAAACTTAAATATGGACTGTATATGCAGAAAAGGTAGTCTAGAATTCTATTCTAAGCTACTGGTAACTCCGGTGCTGGTACGGTAACATTCGTTTTTTAGTTACCGGTACAGAGTTAATTATGGTTCCAAGCAAGCATCGTGTCCTGGATGGTAAGAAAAGGAATTTTGGAATGCCTCTAAAAGAATGGACACAAAAGTTTCATCACGTTTTTTGATATCCGCAATTTTACCGTATTTTATTTTGGCTATCCAAAGCAAGGGCAAAGTTTATTCTTCCAATTCAGAAATATGGTGTAGGCTACTGCTGTATGTGATGTCATGAGTTTTCACTGTTTATTTTGTGCCTTATTGTATTCTAGTGTTTATTAGCCATTTATTAACTCACTTGTGACTTTGACATATTAATTGCGAAGTAATTTTCTATTGCATCCAGATTGTGTTTAAACATCGCTACTCTCCTAACTTTAAAAGCAAAGTTGAGAATGGAAAAGCTAGCATTTGTGCTGATAATTTCAAGGATGAACATATTCAAAGGGCCAATAAAAAAGTTGGTGGATTAAGTTTGGAGCATCACCCACAAAATTGTTG